TATCCAGCCAGCCACCGAAAAAGCCCATGACGCCGCCGTATAGAATACCGATCAACAGCGCAATGCCGGTGGACATCAAGCCAATTGCCAGCGCAATCCGACAAGCGTGAATCATCCGGCTCAGGACATCGGCGCCATCTTCATCCGTACCGAACCAGTGCACACTGTCGGGGGGCTGCAGCGAAACCGGATTGTCTCTGGAACGGTCTGTGGGCGAAAACGGAATCGGGGCTAACACGGCGGACTGGATAGTACCCTCTGCAAGGCCTGTTCGATATTGATCATAGATCACCGCGCTGGGCGGGCTCACTAACGTCATCGTTCCGATGCTTGTCAGTAGCGCTAGTACGATCAGCGCAAGAAAAATCCGACCGGTGCTAAAGCGATAGCGTAGTCGCCAGGCACCCAGGGTAGTGACAAACATCACCAGCAGGGAAACGTCAGCCCAGTCCAGATGCCGCAACAGCGGGCTTTGCCAACCATCGGAAGTAAAGATCAGGTACGGATGTGAGTTGGCGATGAATGGAGCAAACACCGCCAGGATCGCCACCAGGCCAACCCAGGCCAATCCTACCCGAGCGCCAGTTTGCGAGAAGGTGTCGCGGCCCACACGATGAGAATAGGATTCGTGGATGACCGATTCGGCAGCGCCTGTATGATTCGCATTACTCATTCGAAACTGACTCGGGGGTCGGCTGCTGCGTAGCAGATATCAACAATAAGGTAAGCGACCAGGCTCAAAAGCGATGTGATCAGGGTAATTGCCAGCACCACCTCCCGGTCGCGTAACTGCACCGCCTGAACCGCCAGGCGACCCATGCCATCTATAGAGAAAATAGATTCGACGATCACGGACCCCACGAGTAACGCCGGCAAAATTGAAGCGGCCACAGTGATGAGTGGCAGCAGGCTGTTGCGCAGCACGTGGTGCCACAACACTGTATGTTCCAGTGCGCCTTTCGCTCGCGCGGTTCGCGCATAATCTGCCTGCAGGTTTTCAAGCACGGACGAGCGGGTGAGTTTGGTAAGAAACGCAAAACCGGTATAAGACAAACAGATCACGGGCAATACCAGGTGCCATGCCAGGTCCAGCAGATATCCACGTTGCCAGCCATCAGCGGTCTGCACCGGCAGAAACGTCCAGCGGTCCGCCCGCAGACTCTCCAGGCCCGAGGTAGGAAACAGGTTCAGATATTCTTCGCTGGCCAGCAGCCCAATAAGCACCACACCCATCCAGATCGTTGGAATCGACCACAACGCCAGGTTTGCGGTACCAATACCCACATCCAGCGCCTGGCCTCTGAATTGCGCGGTATAGACCCCCATAATGATGGACAGCACAAACACCAGAGGTATCGACAGCCCGTTCATTAACAGCGTAATCGGCAGCGCTTCGGCAATCAGCTCGGTGACCGGTCGGTTTTTCGCAAAACTTGTGCCCAGGTCCGGTGCCTTGAAACCAAATCCCTGGGGTTCACGATTTTCGTCAACACGAAAACCGACAGGAGAAACCTTGTTCAGCCAGCGCGCGTATTGTACGGGCAGCGGTTGGTCCAGCCCGTAGCGTTCGTTGAGATAGCGTTCCATCGCGGCCCGCTCCTCGGCGCGTAAATCACCGGCCTGGCTCAGCAGGTTTGCGCCCACGCCTCCGGGTGCAGCGGCCATAATGCTGAACACCAGCAGGCTGATACCAAGCAGCGTAGGCAGAATCAGCAGCGTGCGGCGGATAATGTAATTGATCAATTGGCGTACTTCTGCTGTGCGCTGGGTACATACCACTCCAGAGGCACGCGCCAACGGCCACCCTCGTTAAGACCCGTCGCTTCTTCCACTTTCACGTTCTTGATCCGACGGTCGATGAATACCAATGATTTGGTGCGAAACAGATAGGTGTACGGCTGGTCCGCCCACAACAGCTCGTGCACCTTGTGCCACAAAGCCATGCGCGCATCGTGATCCATCTCTTTGCGGGCGTCCTCAATCAGGCGATCCAGTTCCGGATTCGCATAGTTAATAAAGTTGTCTCCGCCAGGCTCGGTTTGCGAGGAGTGCAAATTCTGATACGGGTCGATTTCGAGGTTGCCGCCCCATCCCAGACTCACCGCGTCAAAGGTTTTGTTGTTCAGCCGCGTGATCAACACAGGCCAATCAACCGGATCGGGTTCCATCAGTATCCCTGCGCGCACGTACAGGTCCTTGAGTAACAGCATGAACCGTTTGTAGGTATCGCTGGCAGATGGATACGTCAATTTGAAAGAGAATGGCTTGCCCGAAGCAGACTCCAGCACGCCGTCGCCGTCTCGGTCTTCGAATCCCGCAGCTGCCAGCAAGGCTTTAGCTTTTGCCGGATTGAACTCGCGGGTTGGTAAATCCGGATTCGCTTGAGGGCCGAACGGATTAAACGGGCCGTTGATGGGCAAAGCGTACCCTAAGAGAATTTCTTCCGCGATACGCTGTCGATCTGTCAGATAAGTCATGGCTTCACGTACTCGCGGATCTGCGAAAAGCGACTCGCCATCTGGCCTCTTGTTGTTCCAGCCAATATAGATGTAGCCTCCAACCGGGCTGTAATACTCGTATGACCGAGCGCGGTTGGTCACGAAGTCATCTTTGATGAGGTCGCGATATTCCAACGGTAATGCTCTGTACACATCAATGCCGCCGTTCTTGAATTCGGTAAGTTGAGCCGCATCCGACGAAATGGTTTTCCATATACGGCGATCAAAGGGTGCGGCTACCCAACCCCAGTAGCGTTCATTGCGTACCAGCTCTATCAGATCACCGGGCTTCCAGTCCGTGGGCGACACCATTTGATAGGGCCCAGAACCCATTAACAATCCGGTAGACGTATTGAACTGTTCGGCGGTTTGCACGCTCTCGAGATATTTGCCATAGAAATGTTTGGGCAGAATTTGCATGGAGCCGGTTAGCGCAAACGATAAGAAATAGGGCTCATCGAAATGAAATGTCACGTTGGACCCTTGTGCCGTAACGTCAACAATCCTGGAGAAATAGGCGCGCGCTCGAGGTGCCGCGATGCGTTCGTCCATGATCAGTTGCCAGCTGAAGACAACGTCCTCAGCGGTGAGCGGCACCCCATCGGAAAAAACCACCCCGTCCCGAATTTTATAGGTGATCTGCAATCCGTCGCTGGAGGTCTGCCAGGATTCTGCCACCAGCGGCAGCCACTCCAGCGTTTCAGGATCTCGGGTAACCAGGGTATCCAGCACCCATTCCTGCACACGCGTGGCGTAGGTGTCGCCGGACATGTAGGGCGTCAAGGTTGGAACCTGCGCTGAAAAGCTGTTAATCAACCAATCCCCTCTGGCGTAATCGCTGGCCTGCGTCGCTGCCTGTGCGCGCGCAAAGCCGCGCCAGACATTAGGCAATTCGCTGTTGGTCGTCGAGTCGATTACGTTGCCCGACAGGGTGCCACCGCGACGAATCTGTCTTTGCAGGTCGGCGATATCCCGGGTTTGATTATCGATTTTGTCTTGAGTCTGGGCGATGAACAGCCATTGTCGGTCAATCTGAACCATGGCTAACCAGATGCTTGCCAGGATAGCAAACATGAAGAGATACAGCACAAGATCGCGCTTACCGAAACGTTGATTCAAAAAATCGATCCTGCTGCACAATATTGATGCTGCATATTAGCTTCAAGTTGAGTGAAAGTCCGGCGTCTGCCTATAAAAGAATTCCTACACGTGACCGCGCTTGAGTTTTACCGAAATACTTTGTGTTTCTATGAGGCAGTAGCGCGACTGCAGATCGCAACCTCAGAAGCAAGGATGTAGTACCGCAGGTATTCCTCATCCTCGCCGAAACCCTTCTTACGTACCTCGCGCAGACGGTTCTTGGGCTCCTTGTCTCCTTCTGAATCGGCGCCTTCATCTTCATCCGATGCGACGTTTGCGGCGATGATGCGCCCAGAACGGTCCTCACTCGCTTGCGCTTCTTTCTCACCCGCTTCCTTGACGAGGTCCATAAGTCGCTTCGCGGTGTCCCAGGTGTCTCCCGACACTTCCTTTTCCACGACGCTGACATAAAGCGCCGGGCCGTAACCTAAAGACTTGTTCTCTTCATCAATCGGGGCCTGCGCAATGGAGAGTGTCAGGTAGTCATTCGCGAGCAGTTCGGGATCAAGGAGCGTGTCGTCGCAGACCAGGGCTTGGCCTGCGGCGGCTTTGTTTTCCGCCGCCTCGGTGAGTGCACCCAGCGTTGCCATGGCGCGCTCGGCCTGGGCGTCACGCTCGCCGCCAACCTTAGAGCCGAAGATCACGGCAATAACGCTGAAGATGATAAAGCTGTACACGACCCACTCAGATACAGCGCGCCCGAAAAAGCGGGCTACTGGTGGGATCTCGTTGTCCTCCGCGGGATTATTATTCTCGGTCGTCATGTCAGTACTTCTGTTCCTGCTATTTATTTCGGGTACGCTTGGCTCTTGCGGCGCTCGGGTGTTTGTTAAGTGAGCAAATGACGTGCCATGTGAGCTGTTTAGTTTACATAGGTCTGGAAACGGCAGTTTCTGTACGCCGGGTGGATCTTCAGTGTTACGGGTGCATTCGTGCCAACCCTAACTTGCACTAGAATGTATCACTTCGATGCGCCGATGCGTCATGTCGGTGCTACATTGATTTCCCTGTTCCATCTTTCCTTGTGGAAAGCACCATTGATTCGCTTCGAAACGGAAGTTTACGTTTGTAAGCATGGAGTGCTCTTCTACAGTATTTATGCATAGAAGGGCGATAGTGTTCGCTTACCATGTATAGAGAACACAGCGGGCAGAGAGGGTCAGTTTTGTTCTGATGAGGTTTGGTCTGTTTTTTGCAAAACAGTGGAAGAAAAAAATGACCTGACTCGAAGTAAGAAATGGAGAGGTTTTCATGAGCGAGAATTCACTGGACCCTGTTGAGCTGTCGCAGAGCACAGAAGCCAGTTCGACGACCAGGACCTGGAAAGATATTTTCTGGACGTTGTTGCAGCCAACCATCGCGATGGGTGCACCACTCCTCGTCGCCGTCACGCTGCTCAGCGGCGTTTGGGCTGAGGAAGACCGAATGCTCTTCGCCCTGGTGATGATCTTCCTGCCGATCCCAATATTCGTCTGGGCCGAGCGGCGCTGGGGCCGAAGCGACTGGAAGCTCAAACCATCCGAACTGGCTGAGGATGGCTTTTGGCTTGCGATGGGTGCGTTCCTCTGGGCGCCGTTGATAACCGACATGTATCGCACGCCGCTCTCCGAGGGTTTCAGCGCTATCCGTGATCGGACCTTCCTGGAACTCAGTGTCGAGCCGACCACTGTCCTCGGTCTGTTTGGTGCGGTCATCTTTATACGCATTTGTACGGCTTTTCCTTATTACTGGCTGCACCGTGTGCAGCACGAGGTACTGTTCTGGTGGCGCATGCACGCAACGCATCACCACATAACGAAAATGAGTTTCCTTCGAGGCGACCGCACGCATCCGCTTGAATACCTGGCGCTTTCGCTGGGTCGGGTGATGGTTCTGGCGTTCATCGGCGCGAGCGACGAGGTGATTGCAGTTTCTGTAGCATTTGGCATGTGGAACGGTAAGTTCAATCACTCGAACCTGCCGCTTAAGTCTCTACCTGTCTACGACTGGGTTTTCGCGACTGCGCCTCAGCATCACGTGCACCATTCGCTGAACCGCCGGCAGAGCGACTCGAATTATGGTTGTTACATTATCCTCTGGGACCGCGTCTTTGGTACCTACTGCGGCGATAAGACAAGCGATGTCAAACAGACCGGTGCCGGAAAGGCTGTGCCGCTATCGATAAAGGAACAGCTGATGCTGGCCTTCTACCCAAACAAGCGCCTGGTTGACCTGTGACGGGCGCGTTGCATATGAACTGTTGTACGTGGTGAGTCGAACTTTATGAGTAACCCCTGGTTTCTGGTTCCCTTTCTGATTGGCACAGCTGCGTTCTTTGCGACGCTGTATGTGACGATGTTTGTGCCAAACATGTCGGACACGCCCTGGGGTGAGGAAGATCCCGAAGAAGCACACCCACTCAGGCGATGGGACACCATCATCACCTGGCTTATGTGGGGTGGCTGGGGTGTCGCCATGATCATGCATTTCCTGGATGAAAACGAAATGCTTGACCATATCGAGCGGCTACTGAGCTGATTTTTATTGCCTGTATGACCCACCACTAGGCTTGGAGTCAGGACCAGGTGCTGCGCGCGCAGCGCCAAGGCATCGGGTCTGACTTGAACCGGCTGTGATTGATATTTCCAAATTTAAATACTCGCCTCCACATCTTCTTAATCGGTACAAAGTTGCAAACACTCAACTTATGCGTAGTGTGCGTAGTAGCTGACCAGGTAAGTACACAAGAGACCCCGAGTTATCCATAGCTCCCACTTCCAATGACTCGGTCATAATACCCAGGCAAGCTATGCCCTGACGCGCGTAGACGGAGCAAGAATGGCTGACACCGTAAACGATTTTCGCTATCGAGCGTTCATCAGCTACAGCCACCAGGATCGTGCCTGGGCACGCTGGCTGTTTCGTCGTCTCGAACGTTACCGCACACCAAAACATATTCTTGGTCAAACTGGACGCTTTGGCCCGGTTTCAGAACGCCTGGCGCCGATATTCAGAGACCGCGATGAACTGGCCTCTGGAACCGATCTAACCACCACGATTCGCGACGCGCTAGCACAATCAGCCGCTCTTATAGTGATCGCTTCGCCCGCAGCAGCTCAATCGCGCTGGGTAAATCAGGAGATAATCGAATTCATACGCATCCACGGCGAAGGCTGCGTCTTTGTTTTAATTGTTTCAGGTGATCCAAAAGCAGACGGTCTGGCCCAGTGTTACGCACCCGCCTTGCGCTATCGCGTCAACCCGGATGGTGAGCTAACAGACGAACGGGTTGATCTCATTGCTGCTGATGCTCGTGGCATCGGAGATGGTCGCAAACGCGCCCTGCTCAAACTGATTGCAGGATTGCTGGGGGTCGATTACGACCTACTCATACGCCGCGAGAATCAACGGCGCTATCGTCGCATGGCTGTCATCACCACGTTCTCGATCATTGGCATGGGGTTTTCGCTGACGCTTGCTACAATCGCATATCTCGCAAGTCAGGATGCTGAACAACGGCGCCAGCAAGCAGAAAACCTGCTCGAGTTTATGGTTGGAGATCTACGCGAAAGCCTCGAACCCCTGGGCCAACTACACGTCCTCGAAGACGTCGCTGACCAAGCTATGGATTATTTCAGTAAGGTCCAAGACAGCGATATGACAACGCTGGGCCTGGCTCAACGCGCCCGTGTCTTAACCCATGTCGGGTCGATTCGATTACAGCAGCTGCAATACGACGGCGCTGTGGACGCATTCCAAGAAGCCTACCAACGTGCTGCTGAACTGGTTGAACTCGATGGAACAGACCCGCAGCTGCTGTTTCAGAGAGGACAGGCAGAATACTGGGTCGGCTTCGCCAATTGGGAGCAGGGTAACTTCAGTGCGACCAGGGACTGGTGGCAGCGTTACCTGGCAACCAGTGAAGGGCTCCTGGCGTTTGCTCCCTCCAACCCCGACTGGTTACGCGAGGTCGGCTATGGCCACCACAACATGGGTGCTCTGGCGGTTAGAACCCGCGACCTGGTGTTAGCTCGTACCTCATTTGAACGCGAACTGGCACTGCTGGAAGAACTGGAAAAACAGGACTCCGCCCCCCTCCAGTTCGGACCCGATATCGCGGATGTACAAGCATGGCTGGGAGATATCGCGATCCTGGACGGAAAACGCTTTGAAGCACTGGACCACTACCAACAGAGCCGGACGCTCTGGGAAGACCTTCTGGCGATCGCACCGAATCATGCCGGCTTTAAATTCAGAGTGTCATCGGCACTGATGAAGGAATATACAACCGCGCTGCGCACGATCAGCGCCGATCCAAAAGAACATCAGTTAGCGCAAGCTCTGGCCCTGCGCAAAGAATTGTCAGAAGCAGACCGAGACAACAAACGGCACCAGAAAGATTTTATCAAAACTGAATTGCTGGTCCTGGAACTTGGCATGGCGCGCCAGTTGGAAAATCCGAACCGCCAGGCAGAGCTTCTGTCCCACGCAGCAACATTGACACGACTACATGCCCAGGAGTCTGGTGACTGGAGTACCCGCCAGGCTCTGATCGATACCCATCGAATGATCGCTTTAGAAGCGGATTCACTGGGCCAACAGAGTCAGGCTAATGAATCGATGGCCAAGGGTCTGGCACTGATCGATGAACTCTCAGACGAGGTCGCGGTTGCCGGCGTGATGCCGATCAGCATCGCTCATGCGCTGTTGGCGTTTGAGCAACTGGGTCATCATAGCGCTTATCAGGATAACGTTGTCCGGACTGTCACCGCAGATCAAGTCATCGCCTTTCTTACACCCTTGGCCGGTGCTACAAAACAACATCAACTGCAGGAACTCTGGGTTCGCGCTCTGACTCGCGTCGGTCGCACAAATGAAGCGCTGGCGCGCCGCAACGAAATTACCAACGCAGGGTATAAACCGTTGCACCCATGGTCCGTAAGCTTATCGACTGATACCTAGTTCCAGTCGTTGCGTACTCCGGGATCGACATAGTCGTTAATGTTCTCGTTACCGTCTTTTTGAATCCAGACCAGAAACTCATAGTTCTGTTTGGCAGGACCCGAATCGGTCACCGTCATGAGCTGTTGATCGGTGCCGATGGTGACAATTATCCCGTCCGGGAGTTTCTTTGGCTTACCATTGTTCTTCAAAAATACTGATTGAAATGTCGCGAGAGACGAGTTGTCCAACGCTTCAATTGCGGTGGATTTCTGTTTCTTTATATTGCTCGTATCGACCTTGAAAAATCGGGCACCTATGATATTCCAGACCCCACCTTCAAGATCTGCCGGGGGCGCATGAATTACCAGGGTTACATCCTTGGGAAGATCAATAAACGCATCGGTTTGACCTGTTGAAGTGCCGGCCTGGGTGTTGCGCAGTAGGGTTAATTCCATGACGCCCTCCTTTGGAGTGACTTTGTTCACCTGTTGACAGAGAAACACCAAAACTCGGTTGAATCAAGTTACTTTATAACATTGTTATCGAACGTCTTTTATGAACTGTTGGTCGGGCGTGCATTAGCCTGTTATCAGGCTTGGGCTGCAGGTGCCGCGCTCTCTCTGCGCGGCAAGGCACCGGTGCCTGGTCTGAACTCAAACACTGGTGTTTCAGGTCAAAAGGTTGGTCTCTCGAGCATACGTTATAGCAACATTCGCTATATGCACGCAGTCTTACCCAATTGCCGGAAGTCCGATATCCTGCGCTGTAAAACGAGTTATCGGGAATCCTTCCGCGGAGGTAGATAGGCATGAGTGACACAACAGAACGCAGAGTTTGGGATACCAGTCTTGCCCGCCTCGAAAAGGACATGGCAACCGCTGAAGACTTTGAAACCTGGCGTGCTTTGGCTGAGCAACATGACTTGCGCAGCGGCGCAGAAAAGTGGCGGCAGACTGAACGCGCGGAAAACTATGACTGGGCGAATATCAAGCAACGGACGCAGATTCTGCAGGATCTGCGCGCGCGTGACGACGATGTGGGTCTGCTCTTTGCCTTGAATGAAGGCATTCATGGGAACATGGGGGGCATGGGCAAATCGGAGCTTTACGAGCGCGCCAAGCTGGGCACCAAAAAACTGATTGAAGACTATGTGAACACCATTTCCGACTCCCTGAGACACATCTCGTCGGTCCCAGAGGATCAGATTTCTTTTGAAGAGAAAATGGACTTTTTTGATCGCGCCAGCCACTGCTTTGGCCGCGCTGCACTGATGTTGAGCGGTGCGGGTTCCCTGGGACATTTTCACACGGGTGTTGTGAAAACCCTGTTCCAGCAGAAACTGCTGCCGGGGGTTATTTCAGGCTCCAGTGCGGGATCAGTGGTTGCAGCGGTGCTGGGCTGTCATAGTGATAACGAGCTTGATGAGCTGTTTGCCGGTGACAATCTGCTCGGCAATCCACAGCAGTTTGATGAAACCGCCTGGACCATGACCCGACGCCAGATGGACATCAACGATGTGATGGCCATGCTGGAGATCACGATCCCGGACATGACCTTCCAGGAAGCTTTTGAGAAGACCGGTCGTTGTCTGAACGTGACTATCGCGCCTGCAGAGCAGCACCAGACGTCGAGGCTGATGAATGCGATTACCTCACCCAACGTGTTCATTCGTACTGCGGTGCTTGCATCCTGTGCGGTTCCAGGTGTCTTCCCGCCAGTGATGCTGATGGCCAAAAACGTTTATGGCGAGCCGCAACCCTATCTGCCGAATCGACGCTGGGTGGATGGCGCGGTGACCGACGACCTGCCGGCAAAGCGTCTGGCGCGGCTTTACGGGGTTAACCACTATATTGTCAGTCAGGCTAATCCTCTGGCGCTGGCGATGATGAGTGCGGACAAGTATATCTATCTACCCAAAGGAGCCAAATCAGTATGGCGGCATGCAGGCAGGGAAATGCTGCGCTCCGGTGAAGAGTTTACTCGTCGGTACCTGCGACCCTGGCCTGAAGTCAGTCGCGCCATGAACATGTTCTATTCGGTTGCCGCCCAGGATTACACTGGGGACATCAATATTGTGCCGTCATTCAATTTTGTGAATCCGCAGAAACTGCTGGGACACCTGACATCGCAAGAGATATCAGAGTTAGTGCTGGAGGGTGAACGTGCAGCCTGGAACCGCCTGGCGCAGATACGTACCTGCACCAGCATTGGCCACACCCTTGATATGATCCTTGATCATCACGCTGAGCATGATGTGCGCAAGTTCTACAAAACACGCCGGCCAAAACCCAAGAGGATGGACGATAGTCTCGATGCAAGATCGTCGGTGACCTAGGGTGTAGTCATCGCTCAGGAGTTTATCGATTCGACCCAGGCGCAGAAAGAAGGTTTTTCCAGTTGCGCTATCAATCCCATCGTTGTCGGTAACAGTAAATGCGCGACCTGAGAAGCACATCCGAAAACCGATCCCCATTTCAATATCCAGCCGTCCGAATGGGACTTGCTCAGGAAGCGACAGGCTATGAGTACCTTCGAACTGATTTGTGACGCCTGCCAACCACGTCCCCGCTGCAAACAGGTCAGGTACCCCCGACGCAGCAATCTTTCGTAAGCAGTAGCTATCTGGCGCAGTCGTCTGACTCGCGATCCAGATGCAGGCAGAACGCCAATGACGGAACGGACAATCTCACGAGCCCTGGTGTTGACCGGCATTATTCTCGATGTGCTCATCGTGCTGGTGCTCTCTGTTCGAAGGAAAAGCTGGCAACTCGGGCTCTACACGGCTCTGGCCATTGTGGTGCTCGGCTGGTTCTGGCACGTTACGACTGGGTATTGGCCACTGGTGGTCATCCGGAATCAAGAATTAAGGCCGGTCAGACGCCGGGCAGCTTCTTAAGACGTTGAAGGAAACTCCAGAAAGGCGCGTGAACAAGATACAGACGCCACGATCCGCAGCGTCGAACAGATTCAGACATTAGGTTAGCGGAGTATCGGCGATGTCAATGAGCGTTGCTCGCTATCCTGATCGGCAGCCTGCCAAAGGCAGTGCTGGATTGATTCGAATGAGAAAGTTAACTTGTCATCATCATCACTGGTGTAGGCGACATGACAGGAAACCAGATGACAAGGGTTTTAGGGTTCGGGGATAAAGCGAAGGTCCGCGCAGACCCATGAGCCGATGGTTGGCAGGCGGGGTGGTGTTGCTGGCGATGCTGCTTGTCGGCCTGTATTTTTTCTCCACTGCGATTATTGTCCGGGTGGCGTTCGAGCTTGCCGGTGCACAAGGGTTCGATCTGCAGGAGTTGTCGTTGCAGCGCCCCGGGCTGGATGGAATTCGGATAGACACAGTGGCTGGTGGCGTTGGTGATGTTCTCATTATCGCGGACGATATTGTTGTCAGTTATCACTTGAAGGGGTTGTTGGCTCAATCGCTTGATGCGGTTGACATAGGTAGTCTGCATGTTCGGGTTAATGCACCGCAGGCTACTTCGACACCGCTCCCAACAGCGGCCGATAGTGAGATTGATCCTGCAATTATTTTCGGCATCGTGCCTCGGTTAAAGGTGCAGAGATTGTTGCTGGAGATTGCGCAGGCGGACTTTGTGGGTGCCGGAAGCCTTAGTCTTGACGGCGACAACGCTTCATTTGAGTTGGCGGGTGTGGAGCCGGAATTTGCCAGTAATCTATCCGTCTCCGGGTCTGCGCAATCCAATACCAGTCTGCAGTTTGCTTTCTTTGACAGATCCGAGCCGGATGCACCGTTTCTAAAGTTGAATGCAATGCCGCTGGATGATGAAACTGAAATAACCGGGCACTTTGACCTCAGCGGATACCCCTTAAGTCTGGTGACTGGATTGCTGGGATTGCCGGAGGGTAGTGGTCGTGTGCAGGGGCAACTGGCATCCAGGCTCGATTCTTTTGACATAAGCCAGGCGTACCAGTTGTTGCCGCTGGCCGGCAGTTTTCAACTCGACTGGCAGGATGAAACCGTAGAAGTCGAAGCGCTTCGCGGTCAACTCAGCGGATCACCGGCCAGTATGGTGCTGACGTTGGCGGGTGGCAGCATTGCCTTGTCCGAGGCTGCCGTGCTGTTCACCGTGGATTCAGGAACATCTGTGCAGTATGCGGATAATCAGATCAGTATCGGCCCGGGTATGACCGCGATCCTGCAGGATGTTGAAGACATTACATTTCAGTCCAGGTTGACCCGGACAGTCATCGATTTGCGTAATGCAGATATCAGTCTGGATAGCGACGCGGAATTTGCAATGACCAGTTACGGTCTGCAGACCAGGGGTTTGATCACGGGCGTTTTCCTGATACCTGCCAGCGGTATGGTTGCAGATCTCAATATCACAGTTGGTAATCTGAGTTTTCCTTTACACGTCAACTACAACAGCCTGAGCGGCCGCGCTGACCTGAGTGGTGCAAGCCAATGGTCTGTGAAGAATCTCGGCGCATCCCTGGTGCAGAAGTGGCCCTACGATTTCGACATCGTCAGCGGTGATGTCGATGTTGCTCTGCAGGCAGTATGGCTGGACGGCGTTCTCGATGGACGGGCTGCGGTTGCATTAGATCGTGGCATGGTGCGTTACGACGAATATGAATTACAGCAAACCACAGCTGAGTTGGACTTTGTTCTGGACGACAGTGTTCTGCGTTTGCAGCCTTCAACAATCAGGGTGGGCGAATTCGATTTTGGTTTGGTTGTACAGAACGCAGAAATGAAGGTGGCGTGGCAGGATGATGTGGTTGATATCTTCAGCGGTAAATTCGATCTGTTAGGTGGTGGTGTGACCATCAAACCCACGCAATATGATCTTGGCCGGAATATGGCAAGCCTGGACATGGATCTGGTGAATATGGACCTGGCTCAGGTGTTGGCATTGGAAGGTGACGACATTAAAGGCGAAGGACGGCTTCATGGTACGCTGCCGGTCAGGATCAACGACGGTAAGGTCAGTATGGAAGGTGGGCAGATTCGCGCCAGCGATGCTGGCGGCTTGATTCAAGTCTCGCCGAAGTTCACTCTCGGCACAGGACAGCCGGGCATCGATTTTGCCATGCAGGCGCTGACCAATTTCAATTATCAGACTTTGACGGCGGTGGCCGACTATGAAGAAAACGGTGATCTTCAGCTGGCGGTGAGCCTGCAAGGGCGTAACCCGGAGGTGGAAAAAGGCCGACCGATCCATTACAACTTGAATATCAGCGAAAATGTTTTTTCGCTGCTAGACGCGCTTAACGCGCAAAGTGGCGTGACCGAGCGCGTCGAACGCGGTGTGATGAGGCAGCCTAAACGGTGAAAGAAGCTTTTAATCCGATGAGCATCAGGAGCATGGAACGCAAATGAAAGGGACTTACTTGAAACGCCGGGCTGCAGGTGTGGCGTGTATGGCAGTGGTGCTGGGTGCCTTGGCGGGCTGTACACCCACCGTCCGTGTAGCTACGGACGAACCCATTACCATCAATCTTAACGTCAACATCAAACACGAAATTCTGGTGAAGGTAGATAAAGATCTCGACAATTTGTTCGAAAAAGACAGTGAGCTTTTTTAATATGAAGAAAATAACCAGATATCTGGCAACGACATTATTCCTGGCTGCTTCGCTGAGTGTTTATGCTATCGACCTGGATACCGCCAAGGCGGATGGCTTGGTTGGTGAGCGGGCAGACGGCTATTTAGGTGCGGTGAGAGATAACGTCTCGGCGGAAGTTAGCGCGCTTGTCAATGACATCAATGGCAAACGCAAGGCCCAGTATCAGCGCATTGCTTTAAAAAATGAAATCCCACTGGCGGATGTCGAAGCCCTGGCGGGTAAAAAGACGATCGAGAAAACTGAGCCAGGTGGCTGGGTTTTTATTGATACCTGGGTTCAGAAGTAGAGTTCAGCCCTGTTCTCTCGCGGCGCTGTTAAAGCAGGATCACGCTACCAGTCGAGGCGTAGGGTTATTTCCCATATATCCGCGTCAAACTCTTCCAGATCACCTTCGGAAAAGTCGATCCTGCGGTAGCTCAAGCCAACAACATAGTCCTGCGGCAGGGTGTAGTGCGCCGCCAGCCGGACATCATCCCGCTCCACGTGGAAGCTGCCATCGTTTTCATAAGTGCGGAAAGCACCTGATAAAGACAATTTTTCGTTCACCTGAAAGTCCGCGGAAGCATCCCAGAAATCTGCGTCAGCCTCATATTTAATGGCAAACAGGTCCTGGCGGAAGCCACCTGTGACTAACTGATCAATTTCATTTTCCAGATCTACGCTTGCGTAACCAGCAACCAGGGTCAAGCGCTCCAGGGCAAGTTCGAATCTGATATCGGTTTGCTCAGTCGTAGATTGCCAATCGGTATTGGTATTCTCATAGTCCGTGCGCCGGTGCGACATCGTTAGACTCAGACCGTTGTCGAAGCGATAGCGGCCGCGTAACCGATAGCGTAGAGCGTCCGTTGCAGATGCCAGCGTAAAAGGATCGTCAATACGATTGTCTTCCACGGTAAGGCTGATTTTCAGGTGCGCGTCCGGTTGGTAGTTGGCCTGCACAAAAAAGCCTGTCTGATCGGTGTCTTCACTGCGGGCAAAGACGCCATCAATTTGTGTTTCCACAAATTCAGCGTCACGAGATTCTGTTTGCCAACCAAAAGCGATATGCAGATCATCGGTCAGCGCAGCCTGCGCTGATAACTCGTAGCCGAGGTGATCAAGTTGCCAATGACTGTCCGCAGGTTCACCGCCAAACACAACAGAACCATCCTGATCGAGTTCGTAATACCTGATACTTGCGCCAACCTGCCATCGCTCGGTCAGGGCATAGATGGCTTCTGCATCCACCAGCTGGGTGCTGCGTTCCACCTCGCCGACACCCTGCAGGTCACGGTCTAATGGGTTGCCGAGAAAATCGAGACCCTGGGCGCGCTCGGCAGCATCCAGATCAAGGTCCAGATCAATCTGCCGGAAATCCAGCCGGGTCTGCAATTTGTCCGTGGGTCTGATCTGTAAACCCACGGCGTGTTCGCGTACGTCGCTGCTGTAGGGTTGATTCAGAAAGAAATTGTTCAGCTCGGTGGGTTCGGTGGGGTCGCTACCCGCAGAAAAACCGGGTAGAAATGCGCTGTAATCATTTTCATGACGTTGCCACTGCTCCCTTAAAGTGAGTGTGACCCGCTCCCAGTCGTATTGAAATCCCAAAGTGGAAGAGCGCAGTTCCTCGTTTATGGGCTGATCCAACTCAAACTCTTCGCGTTCAACATCAATAGTGGTGGTGCTGTCACCGCTTTTCTCATAGCGATCAAAATCAAAGGTGAGTTTTGCCTGGCTTGTCAGATCCAGACCGAGGCTCAAGGTGTCGCGTGTCCGCTCAAAATCGAACTGGTGAAAATCGCCTCCGGTTGAGCCTTCGACACTGGCGTCTTCCGGTCGCACCAGCAGATCTTCATAGAAATACTCGGATTTGCGGCGGCTGTAGCGAAAGCGATAAGTACTGTATTTGCGCGCGGTAACATCGATACTTTCGTAAGGTTCGCCGCCTAACCCTACGATGCGTAAATCTAACAGATCCGGTGTGTTTCCCTCACTCTGTCGGGGGGCATAACGTGCGCTAAATCCAGCCAGGCGGGCGCCATCTGATAAATTGATGTACTGATCGTATTTGTTTTTGTCGCCCTGCACGTCGACTTCCCGCAGGCCAATCTCGACATGACCGGTAAAGTTCTCTTCAGCAAAGACGCTGGTCGACAGGACAGCAAACCCAGCCAGCAGGCTCCGCGCCCAAATTTTTTTACCGGTAGCGTAATTAAGCACAGGCCACCTCAACGGAGAAAAAGTCGATCTAAATTGGAGCCGTGAATGGTCACATGGCAGTTGGTACAGACGGTCCGTTCGTCGAACCTGGCAGGGCCGGGACCAAAACCAAGATGAAACTGTGGTGCTGCTGCGTGGCAGGTGTAACACAGCGCACCGGTGTCCTGATGGGTCAGCATGTGTCGATTCGGGCTGCCATGGGGTGTATGACAGGCGCTGCAGCCTTCCACTCGCGACGCCGCGTGTTCGAACACAAACGGTCCATCTTTGTCAGCATGACAGGTGCGACACTGAGCCTGCTGGAAGCCACCCAGTTGCATACCTTTATCAGGCTGGTGGGGGTCGTGACAGGACACGCAGCTCACTGCGCCCTGCGCCAGCCGATGCCCTTCGTTAAAGTTAAACTGCGTAAACGTATCCTGGTGGCACTGATAACAGACTGCTGAAGCGCTATCGACGTCGCGGAAATTGTCGGGCAGCTTTGCCACAGGCAACTCACCATGAATGCTGTGACAGCCTGTGCAGTCCAGCCCAGCGCGCCCGTGCGAGTCTGCGGAGGTTGGGTGTTTATCCTGGTGGCAGCTGCTGCAAACAGCATTTACTTCGCCCGGGGGTTCATCGTCAAAGGAATGCATACCCTGGCGTTGCGACGGTGAAGTACTGTGTTGTTCCACGTCGCCATGACAACTGGCACAGACAGCGCTCGAATCCGCATCCACCTGCTGCTGGTTGGCGGCCGCACGGCTGTGTGGATCAGCTGAAAATTCCCTCACCGTTTCGGCATGACAGGCAATACAAGGCGTTGCCCCATGCAGCAAAGCAGCAGAACAGATGGCAGCAGTGCTTATAAAGACACTGATAAATTTCAACAATGATCCCCTCATGACTAACATACTCATGCAATCCCTGTGGGCAGCCTACTAGGATTTCTACGTAGAGATATATGGCCCGGTAAGTGCTTAACATGGATCATGCAGCGCATTGACATCAAACGCGGCTTGAATATAGCCCCGGACTCCGCTTTTGCTCCCGCGGTGGGGACCGCTGCTGTCCGCAGCGTGGCACTGTTGGGTGTCGATTACCCGGGCATCAAACCTGCCCTGGCAGTCAAACAGGGTGATCATGTCAATCTCGGTGATGTTGTATTCACTGATCACGCAGAACAGATACGATGCTGCGCACCGGCAACAGGAATCGTCAGCGCAATTCATCTCGGCGCGCGTCGCAGCCTGCAGGCGCTGGTGATTGAGGTCACCGAGGAGGCCGACGAATATTCCGTTGCGCTTCCCTCGAGCAGCCCCGTGGATGCGAGCACTTTGCGCAATGTTCTGCAGCACAATGGATTATGGCCTGCGTTCCGGGTTCGACCCTTTGATGTCATCCCCGCGGCGGATGCGGCTGTTGGACATCTGTTTATCACCGCCATTGATACCCACCCATCAGCTTTGAACCCAGCCTCGGTGATAGAGCGTAACGCGAAGGCTTTTGCTGCAGGCGTCGAAAAACTCAGTTTGCTGGCCGGACACACTTATGTGTGCAGGGCACCTGGCGATGAACCCTCACACGCGGACATACCTGCGGTAACGTCAGTTGCTTTCAGCGGTCCGCACCCGGCGGGTTTGGCTGGCACACATATCCACTATCTGGCACCCAATGCAAAAGATGTCTGGTGTATCGGCTACCAGGACGTTATTGCTGTGGGCCACCTGTTTCTGCACGGTCGTATAACAGTTGGCAGGGATATTTCTCTGGCAGGCCCGGGCCTGAATCAGCCGCAGCAATTGCGCACCCGAAGCGGCGCTGCCCTGGTTGACCTGATCGGCGATGCCGTGCCAGGCACTACGGCCACCTCAGGTTCGCCTCTGCATGATCAGCGTGATGGACTGGTTGGCAGCTATCTGGGTCGCCTCCACAATCAGGTATGGGTGAGCCCGCCGGTCACACAGACCTCGGTAAAGACCGAGACGGTAAAATCCTGGCTGCAACAGCTCGTTGCACCGCGCACTGCAATTAGCGCCCAACACCCAGGTGAAGTGGCTATGACGGGTATGCTGTCGGTAGAAGCCTTCGACGCTGTTTGGCCTTTCAGCATGCCTCCCTTACCCCTGCTCAGAGCCCTGTTGACCGGTGATACCGACACAGCAAACGAGTTGGGTGCGATGATGCTGGCCGAGGAAGATCTGGCGCTGTGTGCCTACGTATGTCCGGCAAAGCAGGACTATGGGGCGGCGTTGCGCGCCACACTGCAAGCCTTCGAGAAGGATGGTTGATATGGCGCCACCACTGCGTAGCCCCTGGTCGAGCAACCGCATTTTCGCCTGTTTTATTGTCGCGTCCGTTCCCGCTGCGGCGGTGGGTGTCTGGAACCTGGGCACACGAATTCTGCAACAGACTCCGGCAGCAGGTCTCCAAGAGCTGCTCGGTTGGCGCGGCACAGGGCTTGCCGCTCTGGGGCTCGACATGAATCCTGAAGCCGGGCTGACGGCAACGTTACTGGGGCTGTCGTACCTCACACCTCTGGTTCTGATTGCCCTTGCTGTTGCGTATGGCTGGGAAAGGGTTTTTGCACAACGAAGGTCACAACCGCTGGACCATGGCTGGGTCATGACCGCCTGGCTGTTTGCGCTGATGCTGCAGCCCGGTGTGCCGCTGTGGATGGCAGTACTGGGTTTGAGCTTTGGTGTTGTGGTAGGTGCGCATATATTTGGCGGCACGGGTAAGTATCTGGTGAGCCCGGCCTTGCTCGGTGTGCTGTTCCTGCATTTCAGTTATCCGGGCTACTTACAGACGACAATATTGCCGGAAGAACTGGCTGCCGCGGGCAGCTGGTCGGAGGTGGCGAACCAGGGTGCACTATCACTGGATCAGTTCTTTGTCCTTCTTATCGGCATGGAACAGGGGGCCATAGCCACCGGTTCGACACTGGCCTGTCTTGCAGGTGCGGTGTATCTCGTTTACGCCGGCGCTGTGTCCTGGCGTGTGCTTGTCGGCGGCGTCGCCGGCGTAGCAGGCACCGCCATTGCCTGTAGCTGGCTGATTGCTGATAACACCGCCGCAGCACTGCCTTGGTATGCACATCTGGTCGTTGGCAACCTCGCATTTGTACTGACGTTCATTGCTACCGACCCCAGCTGCGGACCGCTGACCAGAAGCGGTCGCTGGCTTTATGGCGGCGCGATTGGTGCGGTGGTGGTCTGCATCAGAGTGCTGGACCCGGCGCACCCGGACGGCACGCTTTTTGCGGTTCTGCTCGCGGCGCTGAGCGTACCGCTGCTCGATTACCTGGCAATACGCAGATATGTCAGCAGCAAGGTATCACTCTCAAAATGACCGCGCAGGCATCTACAGAGTCCGTCCCCCGCACCATGCTGATCGCGGTGTGTATCGCCTTGTTTTGTTCTGCCATGGTGTCCGGAGCGGTTTATTTTCTGCGTCCGCTGCAGGCAGCCTATGCATCTCTTGAACGCAACGAGACCATTCTCGGGGCAGCCGGATACCTGCCGTCGGACGCCGGCGACAGGGCAGTTGTTAATGCTTACCTTGAGCTGGATGCCCGCGTTGTGGAACTCACTTCAGGGCGCCCAACAAATACGCTGGATGGCCACGTTTATGACCATTGGGCATCCACCGGCGTTGATCCTGGCGCCACTCTGGCAGAAATGGACAGTGTGGGATTGAACACGCTGCCTCGCTACGTGCCGGTATATCTCGTCCCTGGACCAGCTGGTTCAAAGCGCCTGATTCTGCCGCTGCACGGACGGGGCATGTGGTCAATGCTCATGGGTTACCTGGTGCTGGAGCCGGATCTGCAGACCATTGCTGCACTGGCATTTTATAAACATGGTGAAACGCCGGGTATCGGCGACCGTATTCTGGATGAAACCTGGTTGCAGAGCTGGCAGGGCAAACGGTTGTACGATGATTCCGGCGAGGTGAAGATCCGTATGAATGCAGATGCAGACACCCCGGCGCAATACCGTGTTGATGCCATCACTGGCGCCACAGTCACCAGTCAGGCTGTGGGGCGTATGGTTCGTTTCTGGGCAGCCGCTTATAAGCCGCTGTTGCGGCAAATTGCTCCCGAAATGGACGGGCAGGCGGGGGACGCTCCATGATGTTACGTAAATACCTGACAGATCCTCTGATTGATGAGAATCCGGTTACCGTCCAGATTCTGGGTCTGTGTTCAGCGCTGGCGGTCTCCCGTTCACTGGAGCCTGCGTTGATTATGGCTGCCAGCGTCATCGTTGTCCTGGTATTTGCCAATGTTGCGGTAAGCCTGTTGCGCCATATCATGCCGCGCAGCATCCGCCTGATCCTCGAAGTCACGCTGATTGCTTCTGCGGTTATTGTTGTCGACGAAGTGCTCAAAACCTATGCGCCGCAGATTTCTGAGGTGCTTTCCGTGTTTGTCGGCTTGATCATCACTAACTGCATTATTCTGGGGCGTACCGAGGCCTTTGCCATGCATCATGGCCCGTTGCCAAGCCTCATGGATGCCCTGGGTAACGGTTTTGGTTACGCGCTTATTTTGCTCGGTGTGGCCGCGGTGCGCGAACTGCTGGGTGCCGGTACGTTGCTGGATCATCAGGTGTTTGCACTGGCTGAACAAGGCGGCTGGTATCGCCCTAACGAGATGATGCTGTACGCGCCCAGCGCTTTTTTTATTATCGGCTTCCTGATCTGGGGTATCCGCAGCTGGCGTACCCAGCTGGTAGAAGGGCCTGACTATCAGGAAGACCGTCCAGTTTACAGGCAGGCTGACTGATGGAAGGATTTGCCAACATCGTTCTGCGCGCCATGTTTGTCGAGAACCTTGCGTTGGCCTTCCTGTTAGGCATGTGCACTTATCTGGCAGTATCCAAGCGCGTCGCCACTGCAATCGGCCTGGGCGTGGCAGTGGTCGCCGTACAGGTCATTACCGTACCGCTTAACAATCTCATCTATCAGACCCTGCTTGCGCCTGGCGCGCTGGACTGGATGGGCCTGGGCAGCCTCGATCTTTCATTTCTGAAGTTTGTCATGTTCATTGGTGTCATTGCAGCTTCAGTACAGATTCTGGAAGTGATTCTTGAACGTTTCATCCCCGCACTTGCCCAGCGTCTCGGCATCTATCTACCGCTGCTAACAGTTAACTGCGCAATCCTCGGTGGTTCGCTGCTTATGGTTCAACGCAGCTATACCTTCACGCAGAGTGTGGCTTATGGTCTTGGATCCGGCCTCGGCTGGGCGTTGGCCATTGTGTTATTTGCGGCCATTCGTGAACGCCTGCGTTATGCCGATGTGCCGGCGGGTATGCAGGGTCTGGGACTGGCATTTGTGGTGACCGGACTGCTGGCGTTTGGCTTTTCCGGTCTTACCGGTCTGGAACTGTAACGCCCATGCTGCAGATCATCGTACCCATGGCTATCTTTACCTTGACGGTTGCGTTGCTGGCTTTCACCGTTCTCATGGTCCGCGCACGTTTAACCATACGCGAACCCGTCAGCATCACGGTCAATGACCGGCAGGCGTTAACGGTGATAAGCGGTGATACGCTGCTTGCGACCCTCGGTGAACAGGGTATCCAGCTGCCTGCAGCCTGTGGCGGTCGCGGTGCCTGCGGTCAGTGCCGGGTGCAGATCGAAGGTACTGTGGCGCCGTTGCTGCCTACCGAGCTGAATCACATTCGCCGACGCGATGCCGTCGCAGGTATGCGCCTGGCCTGCATGGTGAAAGTGCGCGAAGACATGCGGGTGCGTGTGCCTGAAAACGTTCTGGAAGCCCAGCGCTGTACCTGCCGCGTGGTGACAAATTCCAATATTTCCACTTTCCTGAAACAGCTTGTCCTGGAACTGCCTGAGGGTACGCCGTTCAAGTTTACCGCTGGTGATTACGTGCTGCTTGAAGCACCTGCGGGCAAAGTGGATTTCGGGGATTTTAAGATAGATGCTGAATATCAGCAGGCCTGGCAGAACAGCGGTGTATCCGGTCGCAGCGTTACCCTTACAGAACCAACGGTGCGCGCCTATTCGCTGGCTAACCCGCCGGGGGAGCAGGGTCGTCTGATGCTGGTGGTACGTATAGCGCTGCCGCCACCCGGCGCATCAACCGAAATACCGCCAGGTATGGTGTCATCGTATATCTTCAGCCTGCATCCCGGCGATCAGGTCTCGGTGACAGGACCTTTTGGCGACTTCCACGCGCGGGAAGGGGAAAGCGAAATGATATTTGTTGGTGGTGGCGCTGGAATCGCACCGATGCGCAGCATTATTCACGATCAGCTGCTTGGCCGTGGCGCCAGACGCAAGATCAGTTTCTGGTACGGCAGCCGCAATGTCCGCGAGTTATGTTTCTACGATGAGTTCAGTGATCTTGCAGCACGTTATGAAAATTTCAGTTATCACGTGGCATTGTCAGGTCCCGGTATCGAACCCACATGGCAGGGTGACAAGGGTTTCATTCACACCGTGTTGTTTGAAAAATACCTGAGTACTCATCCCAGTCCGGAGCAGGTCCAGTACTACCTGTGCGGACCGCCGCTGATGAGCGCAGCCACGCTGGCCATGCTGGAGGATCTGGGCGTCGATCGGGACAATGTACTGTTTGATGATTTTGGCAGCGGTTAAGGAGGGTAGAGAGATGGCTGTTGAACCACTTCGGGTCAGGGACTACATGAGTGAAACACCACTGACAATAACCGCGGACATGCCGATTATGGCTGCGGTCAGGTTTCTCGTTGATCATGATATATCCAGCGTCATCGTGACCGATGCAAACCAAACCCCGGTGGGTATTCTAACGGAACGCGATTGCATCAGAACGGCTTTACAGGCGGGCTACTTTGACGAAGGTGCCGGGATAGTCGGCGATTACATGACAACAGATGTCACCACCGCCGGGCCTGAAGACAGCCTGATGGATATCGCCCAGCTCTTCGCTGATTCGCCTTTTCGACGCTGCCCTGTTGTTGACCAGGGCCGCCTGATAGGCATGATCTCGCGACGCAATGTGTTGCGCGCGCTCGGTGAATCGAGCTGGTTTGCAGAACCACAATCTAAAACATAACTAATGATCAGGAGTATCACGAGATGATCAGTAAACGCCTTAACCTCACCCTTTTAGCCCTGCTGCTGGCCGGCTCGGCGCACGCAGAACCATCAAAAACTGCCGCCTCGGCTGGTAAAGCTGTCGACGCCAGTCGTTGTACGGCTTGTCACCAGGGCGGATTGAGTCTGACCAGGTACAGCGGCGACGAACTCACCCAGCGCATCCTGGCATTGCGTAACAATCCAGCCAACCATCCGCCCCTTCTGCTGGAGGACGCTGATGAGGACGCCATCCAGAAGCTGGCATCAGCCCTTTCGTCAGGACAGACGGAGTAAACGTCGTCATGACAAGCGTGAAGCCGGAATACATTAGCTGGTTCAGTAATATCTCTATGGCCGATTTGCCCCTGGTTGGCGGTAAAAATGCATCGTTAGGGCAGATGTATCAACATCTGGAAAGTCAGGGCGTGCGTGTCCCCAATGGGTTTGCTGTTACCACGCAGGCTTACAAAGAACTGATCACAGCCAATGAACTGCAGCCGCTATTGGACAGCAGCCTCGCACCGTTGCAGCAATCGAGCACTCAGGCGCAATTGGATGCGGCGGCGCGCATCTGTCAGGAACTCATTTACCAGGCGCCCCTAAGCGCCGAGGTGCTGGGTGAGATCGAAACAGCGTTTGATGCTTTGCAACAGCAATATGGCACAGACCTGACCGTTGCCGTGCGCAGTTCCGCGACTGCGGAAGACCTGCCGGATGCAAGTTTTGCCGGCCAGCATGAGTCTTTTCTGCACATCAAGCGTGAAAGCCTGGTTGATGCCTGCCGGCGTTGTTTTGCCAGTTTGTACACACCGCGCGCGATCCGCTATCGCCTGAATCATGGCGTAGCGCACGACAGCGTCGCGTTATCGGTAGGCGTGATGAAAATGGTCCGCGCAGATACCGGTGCCAGTGGTGTGACGTTCACCTTGGATACCGACTCGGGACACCCGGGTATGGTGTACACAACGGCAACCTTTGGTCTGGGTGAATTGCTGGTGCAGGGTGCTGTGGAACCCGACGAGTTCTACGTTCATAAAGATCGATTTGCAGCAGGCTATCGGCAGATCATGAACCGGCGTCTGGGCAGTAAGCTCAAGAAGATGGTCTGGACATCAACCGGCGTTGCTGCGGTGAATACCACAAACGCAGAGCAGCAGGACTACTGTATTCCAGAGTCAGATGTACTGATTCTTGCTGAAACGGCGCTCAAAATAGAAGCCCATTACAGCCAGCTGGCAGGTACAAACCAGCCGATGGACATCGAATGGGCACGCGATGGCATAGATGGTCAGATTTATATTATCCAGGCTCGGCCCGAGACTGTGGCCAGCAATCGTCCCCACAACATCATGGTGCGCTATGAGCTGGAGAGTAAGCCGCCAGTAGAACCGCCGCCGCTCACCGGCCGCGCCGTAGGCCAGCAGATCGCCAGCGGTCGGGTACGCGTTGTGCGAACCGCTGAAGACCTGAATAAAGTGGAAGCGGGTGAGGTGCTGGTTGCGACAACCACGTCACCAGATTGGGGTGCGGTCATGCAGAGTGCCGCTGCGGTTGTCACGGATGAAGGTGGCAGGACATGCCATGCAGCCATTGTTGCCCGTGAATTAGGCATACCAGCGGTTGTTGGTACTCAGAGCGCCACCACCGCACTGAAAACCGGGGACATGGTCACCGTCGCCTGTCATACCGGACAGACGGGTGCCGTTTATGCGGGCGAACTCGCCTTTGTGCAAACCACAACAAACCTTGATGACCTGCAGCGCCCGCGTACCCGATTGATGCTCAACGTGGGTAATCCGGACATTGCTTTTAAAGCGGCGTTGCTCCCCAGTGATGGTGTTGGGCTTGCCCGCCTGGAGTTCATCATTTCTAACCATGTCAAACTACATCCCATGGCAGCGATCCACCCCGAGCGCTTGAGTGATGATGAACAGAAGCAGGTGGCGCAGTTAACTCACGCGCACGCCTCTGCAGCCGAATTTTTTGTTGATACCCTCGCTGAGGGCATCGCTACCATCGCCGGTGCATTTTTCCCGCGTCCGGTCATTGTGCGCCTGTCTGATTTCAAGAGTAATGAATACGCTGCTCTGTTAGGGGGTGCTGTGTTTGAGCCCCAGGAAAGCAATCCCATGATCGGTTTCAGAGGGGCGTCGCGATACGCTCATCCCGATTACCGCGAAGGTTTTGCGTTGGAATGTGCCGCCTTCAAAAAGGTGCGTGAGAAAATGGGGTTTACTAATGTGCAGGTAATGGTGCCCTTCTGCAGGCGTGTCACAGAAGGTCAGCAGACACTTGCAGAAATGGCGGATAATGGCCTGGAGCGCAGCGCAGACTTTCAGGTGTACCTGATGTGCGAAATTCCCAACAATGTCATTCTGATTGATGATTTTGCTAAAGACTTTGATGCGTTTTCAATCGGCTCTAATGATCTGACACAATTAACTCTTGGGGTGGACCGGGATTCCGCTCTGGTTGCTTTTGATTTTGATGAACGGGACCCCGGCGTCCTGCAGATGTTACGTATGGCCATCGAAGGGGCTCACCGTAACAACAGGCCGATCGGTATCTGTGGGCAGGGCCCATCAGACTATCCGGACCTGGCCGCGTACCTGATCGAGTTGGGTATCGACTCCATCAGTCTTACGCCGGACTCTCTGTTATCAACGCTGGTGGCGGTGCAGGCGCTCGAGCAGTCTCA